TGGCTGCCTCATGTACCTGATGACCTGCACACGACCTGACCTTGCATACCCTCTGAGCATTCTTGCACGCTATGTTGCTCCTGGGAGACACAGACCGGAGCACATGGCTGCAGCGAAGAGGGTATTGCGCTACCTGTGCAGTACGTCAGGCATGGGGCTAGTGCTTGGAGGGCGGAGTCCAGTGGTCCTTACCGGCCACGCGGACGCTTCTTGGGCTGACGACCAGGCTACGCAGCGGTCGTCACAGGGTTACACCTTCAGCCTTGGTTCCGGCTCTGTCTCGTGGCGGTCTACTCGCTCGTCTTCGGTTCTCGGCTCCAGTTGTGAGGCTGAGATCTACGCCGGGGCCATGGCTGCACAGGAGCTTCGCTGGCTCACCTACCTGCTGACTGACCTTGGAGAGCCGCCTCGTTCTCCTCCAGTGCTGTACGTAGACAACAAGGCTATGCTGGCCTTGTGTCGAGAGCAGCGCTTGGAGCACAGAACGAAGCACATTGCTCTCCGCTACTTCCTTGCTCGTGAGCTGCAGCAGCGTGGTCAGTTGCGACTTGCGTACGTGGCCTCTGAGGCCAACACCGCTGATGTGTTCACCAAGGCACTTGCGCCTTGTGACCATCAGTGCTTCTGCACCCAGCTGGGTCTTGTGCCTGTCTTGCCTCACTTGCTCTCCTCTTGACTTCACTTGTACTGTGACATATATATATACCTGCTCTTGCTTGTCTAGCTTTATATATATATGTCTGTACTCTTGCTTGTGAACTGGCCTTTGGCCTTGCTCTTGTGCTCGGACTGTGTGGTGACTTTGTGATCCACCCTGAGCTTTGCTTTGTCTTGCTTGACTGGTCTTGTGACCCCTTGTTCTCCCCCACTTTGCCTATGGGGGTGTGTCAGAACATATCTATAGCTTATACTGCTGTGTAGGCTGTAGTGGGGTATCCCATAGGGGGTACAACCCAGTTAGGGTTTCATATTTGTACTGCTTTCATTCATAGTTCATTCATTCCTGTTTTCCTATTTTCACAGCTTGTGTGGGGTGGGTGTTATGATAGACCTCGTTTCTACTATACCCCCCTTTTTGGCTGATTTTCTATAACACCCCCCTTTTCTTACGGATTCATTACTATAGTCGTTAACGAGTAGCTGCAATACGGAAGAATATCGTGTGAATTTCTCCCTCAATGAAATTTCGCGGTACATTCAAAGGCAATCTGCCGAGATTTGCCCCCTCCCACTATTTCTCTGTTGCCACGTGCAGGTGAATCTTCCGTTGCAAGTGGCAAGAGAGGTGTCACATGGCATTTTCGTGAGGGCGATGAAGTTCGAGGCCGAAACTGACATTCGCACCTCAGGCAGTGATGCTAAAACGACCAGCAAAACACCCATATTGACTAATTAAAAAAACACTAACACTAAAATATGCCATATGTAAAGACCCGTGTATTATGTATTTTTTTCCTATGAGACCCCCCCCATTTTTTCCCTGTATTTTTAGCTATACCCTAGGGTGTTATGTCCGGGAGAGAACGGTACTACACGGCCCTGCGAGAGGTACAGAATGCGTTATCGTGTAGTATAAAGTGGTACTTGGGGAAGGTACACATGGAATTGTCGTATTCGATAGTTGTCACGAAACAGTTTCCTCCCATGCGTGCCCACAATCCACCACTTCGGCTGTGCGCAACATCAAGCCCGCGCTGACCCGCACCAGCAAGGCCATGTGTCTCATGACGGCCGACGATCCACTGCGCATGTTGCACAGAGAGACGGTGGGAAGCGAGTTTGACAACAGCCGCGAACGGTCTTCAGACAGCTAGAGTGTTGGTGAGATATCTTGCTATGTCGAAAACGATGTGTCAGGGCTTCATGTTTGAAAAATGGTGGTGCACTATGTGTAGCCGTGGTATGTAACTGAAGGCGTCGGTACAATGTGATGTTCCACCTAATTACCCGCCCATTCAATGCAGGCGCACTCCGCAGTGGCCATTCCTAGCACGAAAGGGGGGTACCGTACTTGGCACCGAAGGCGATGCTCGTGAAGGTAAGCCCGAAGGAGAACTGGTTCTCCAACATTGCGATCCCGGGGGAGAGGGAGGAGGGAGAGGAATATGAGTGGTGGTATGCGCGGTGCCTCTGTATTTTTAGCGCGGTGAACGGCAGCGGGGAGGAGGGAGCATACGTGTTCGTGAAGTATTACCGTATTCTCCCGGACATAACACCCTAGGGTATAGCTAAAAATACAGGGAAAAAATGGGGGGGGGTCTCCTCAAAGGAAAAAAATACATAATACCCGGGTCTTTACATATGGCATATTTTAGTGTTAGTGTTTTTTAATTAGTCAATGTGGGTGTTTTGCTGGTCGTTTTAGCATCACTGCCTGAGGCGCGAATGTGAGTTTCGGCCTCGAACTTCATCGCCCCCACGAAAATGGCATGTGGCACCTCTCTTGCCACTTGCAACGGAAGATTCACCTGCACGTGGCGACAGAGAAATAGTGGGAGGGGCAAATCTCGGCAGATTGCCTTTGAATGTACCGCGAAATTTCATCGAGGGAGAAATTCACACGATATTCTTCCGTATTGCAGCTACTCGTTAACGACTATAATAATGAATCCGTAAGAAAAGGGGGGTGTTATAGAAAATCAGCCAAAAAGGGGGGTATAGTAGAAACGAGGTCTATCATAACACCCACCCCGCACAAGCTACCCGGGGGTGTACAATTATGGGGGGGTGTTTTGTCCGGGAGTATACGGTAGGAGGAGGGGGTGTGTCCGCAGACGCTATGCCCCCAGCTGGTGCCTGGCAGGAAGCCAGCCACGCACGGGATCATTGAAGTTGCATCGATGAGTGTATTGTCCACGAGTGCTGCTACTCAATAGGTTTGCGCTGATCGACTGAACAATCTTTAACTCTTGCAAAGTGGTCACACCTATACATCAAAGGTAAACCCACGGTGAGACTGAGGTGGGATATGGCCGAAGACAAGTTGTAATAGCCACGAAAAAGTTACAATTGTCACGCCAGAGTTGCGTCACAGCAACTGGCGATTTGTTGCTGCAAAGTCACTTTGGCCACCCTTCTCTGAATGTGCGCGCCGAAGGTTTCCTGAAGCTTTTCCGCAGGAAAAGCTACCGTGTACATTTTAGGCCCACAAGGAATTTCGCGATGCGTGTGCCTCTGCTGCACTGCTGCGCGCACCACGTGGCATGTGCGATGGTGCGCGCTTCGGCTTCAGTTCTCTGAGGGCCATGCTAAGCGCCTCAGCCAGTTTCCAGTGCCACGTCATCTTTGCGCGGCTCTAGCGCCGTGCGGCACACGGGGCAGGTGGTGTGCGAGAGGAGCCAGCAATCGATGCACGCCACGTGGAAGCGGTGCGCGCACGGCAGCAGGCACCGCAGCTGCTCCCCGTCCGAGAAGTCGCTCAGACACACCGCGCACTCCGTCGCACCAACCTCCTCGCACTCCGTCGCACACCCCCCGTCGCACGCCGTCGCACCCCGCTCGTCGCACTCTGCGCTGCTCTCTGTTCCTTCCCCGCCTGCCACGCCAGGCACCATCGTCTCAGTCCTTTCCGATCCTCCCGTCGGCATTACCATCTTCTCCGTGCTCTCTGCGCCTGTGCCCACTGCTGCGCCTACTGCTGCGCCTTGCCTTTGTTCCACTGGTGACTCTACCCGTAAGGATCCCTCGCGTCGTTCCGCTTTTCCTGCCAGCCCGTTCTCTGTGATATCAGTAACCGAGTTAACGAGCGTTTGGTTTTCGCTAAGTCGAGCCGCAGGCGCTTCATCCCGCGGCAGCGCGTACCGCACGGGCTGATACCTCGCAGCGCTGCTGCCGCGCCTCTCCTTGCCGCGCTCCCCCTTGCAACCGACGCCGGCCCTTCCGCTGCTGCTGCCCCCCGCGAGCCCTCGAAAGGTTACCACGGGGAATGTCGCCAACGTCGCAGGATCTAGTCCGCGACTCTTCTCGTCGCCGTGCGACGTCGCCGTGCGACTAGCGGCAAGCCCATCGGGGAGGTCCGCGTCGTGGATGAGAATAACGAGGAGGCTACTAGGAAGGACGGAGGCGAGGACGCGGGGGCAGCGCAGCACGAGGGAGACGAGGAGGCCGACGGCGAAGAAGGCGAGCATGCACGCCGCCGTGCCCGCGATGAACGGCGCCAACCCCGCCACGTCCACACCGCCGTAGCTTGTAGGGGCCGACACGCTGGGCGGCACGCTGGCCGGCAGCGCTGGCGGCGAGAGGGATTGGGCCGGCGAAGGTGGTTGCCCGGCCAGGGGGGGTTGCAGCGAGGGTGGTTTCGAGGGCACTTGGGGGTGTGGGGGATGGTGCGAGGGATGAGGAGGTCGGTGAGGTTGCGTCAGAGGCGGCGACAGGGGCGGGGCGACGAGGGACGAGAGGAAGCGTGCCATGATGCATACGTAAGCTTGATTGAAAGAGGTTTTTTGCATACTAGGTTAATGTTGGTAGTCGTTGGTTTATGAACGGATGTTGGAGGGCAATTAGCGGCAATCACACATCGCTGCTTGTGGTGGGCTTGGACTGCCTTGGTGCCTGGCTGCCTACCTGCCTGTGATGCCCAAGTTGCCAGCATTGCACCAAGTGCTGCCAGGCAGCCGAATCGCATCGAGTGCGAATGTGGGAAGAAAATGTGGCGCGAAACCTTCATCACAACGCGCTATCCTCGATTGCGATAGCGACTCGAGAAATGGTGAAAGTTTGTCCTAGCCCCGCTATGATCAAGCTTCCAAAACAGAAGATTTTGAATCCTAGTGGTGTATATTTATATAATATTTAGAAGATGATGCTGGCATTATTGAGTTTCATGCGCCAACATAATCTCATCAATTTCAGTACGCATCCTGAACCAAACACTTGGCCCTGCTTCTCTCCGGATTTCGCGCTACGCACAGTGTGGCGGATTAGCGGGACGAGTTTACCCGCCTTTTCTAACCTCCGTCATCCGCCGCCTCCACTTTCTCTCATCTCACCGTCGCAACCACATGCCACCATGCGTTGCCATTCACTGCCCCCCAGCGGCACGCGGCATTGGCGCCTATTGCCGCCCGACAAGCACCGCCAGCGCCCAACATTTTGAGCCACCTCCCTCGCTGTGCCGCCCGTCGTTCTCTCGAGCCTGCAAACCCGCGGGGATGCGGGCACGGTCCCCTTCGTGCGCCGCTTCTCGCTGGAAGGCAGTCCGCTTGGGGCAGGTCAGGCGCGGTAGTACGCGCAGGCAGTGCGCGCCGCGCGTGCAGGCGGAGGAGGCGGCGGAGAGAGCAAGTGAGTGGTGGAGAAAGAGAGAGGCGGAGACACGTGAGGCGGAGAGGCGTGAGAAGCAGTGGCGTGAGAAGGAGAGACGTGAGAAGGAGAGGCGTGATTTTAGGCTTGTGACTCCCTGCTAAGTGCGATGCATCTCCCTGCTAAGTGCGATGCATCTCCCTGCTAAGTGCGATGCATCTCCCTGCTAAGTGTGATGCATCTCCCTGCATGTGCGTGTGCCCGCCACACGACAGCAGTGGCAGAGGCGGATCCATTGGAGCAGTTTGTGCGCATCGACCACGGCAGGCAGTCGCGCACCGGCATGCCCGAGGTCAGCTGATGCCCGCCGGGTAAGGTGATGCCCGCCGGGTAAGGTGATGCCCGCCGGGTAAGGTGATGCCCGCCGGGTAAGGTGATGCCTGCCAGGTAAGGTGATGCCTGCCCGGGTCAGGTAGTGACAGTCACTTGACCAACAGCTGACAGTCGCGTGACCAACAGCTGGCAGTCGCTTGACCAACAGCTGACAGTCGCTTGACCACTTGCATTCGCTTCTTGCTTGCTGCTCCCACCACCCACCAAAGCGCACTGCCGCTCCCCTTCTCGCTAACCCTCACAGCCTTCCGCCCAGTTCCCACTTGCTCACACAATCGCCCTCGTTCCCTCTCTACGCGTCACTTCTCCCTTCCCTCGTCCCCAACCGCCACAGCTGGTCCCCTGGACGGCAGGTGTACGGGAAAGGCAAGACGGCGCAGCAGATAACCGCCGTCCTCACTGGTCGTCCCACCAGCTCCATACTTCCTCACACAACCTCCCTCTTCCCCTCCCCTCCCTTCCTTCCCCTCCTCCCTTCCCTCGTCCCCACGCCTCCACACCCTACCCCCTGGTGGCAGGTGGTGTACGGGCAGGGCAAGACGGCGCAGCAGATGGCCGCCATCCTCACGGCCATGGCAGACAGGGCCACCCAGGCGGGCGATCAAGGACGCAGCCGGAGGGCTGTCATGGCCACCAGGGTTGATCCCGAGGCTGCACAGCAGGTGCGGAGGGATGTTTAGGTGCGGTGGGGTGTTCAGATGCGGTGGGGTGTTTAGGTGCGGTGGGATGTTTAGGTGCTGTGGGGTGTTTAGGTGCGGTGGGGTGTTTAGGTGCGGTGGGGTGTTTAGGTGTGGTGGGGTGTTTAGGTGCGGTGGGGTGTTTAGGTGCGGTGGGGTGTTTAGGTGCGGTGGGGTGTTTAGGTGCGGTGGGATGTTTAGGTGTGGTGGGATGTTTAGGTGCGGTGGGATGTTTAGGTGCGGTGGGATGTTTAGGTGTGGTGGTGGGTGGGTTTTGGAGTGCGAAATGCAGCATGGTGGGGGGCTATGAGGCCTCAAAGCCCTTCACAACTCCCCTCCATGCCCGCAAGCGGGCAAGGGCAGCGCGGTGCACTGGACCGTGCCCCCTGCCTGGCTTTCCTCGCCCTATCGCCTGCTCTGCATGCTGCAATGCTGCAGCACGCTCCTGCTCATCCTGTGCCTTCGCAAGTCGTGCCTTCTGCCATGTTGCCTGCCCCCCACCTGCGCCCCACCTGCGCCCCACCTGCCCCCCACCTGCACCCCGCATGTGCTGCCCCCCACCAGGTGTGTGCGCTGCTGCCCTCCGCCATCTACCACCCTCTGGCCCGCGTGCTGCACCTGCCGCTGCCCCTGCCGCCCACAGCAGGCGCAGAGGCGAGTGAGGCCGGCGAGAGTGGCGCACCATGTGGTTCAGGCAGTGCTGCTGCTGACAGCACTGGTGACAGTGGTGGTGGGAGAGAGGGGGCGAGCGGGCATGTGATGGTGGTGACTGCCGGCACCACTGACCTTCCTGTGGCTGAGGTGCGGTGAGTGGACCAGTGTGGGGCGGAGTGTTGGGAGGAAGTTAGGGAAAAGTGAGGACAGAAGTGAGGAGAGAAGAGAGGACAGAGGTGAGGAGAGAAGAGAGGACAGAAGTGAGGAGAGAAGAGAGGACAGAAGTGAGGAGAGAAGAGAGGTGGAAGGTGAGTGGAGAAGCGTGGGGAGGAGTAAGAAATGCACGGGCTGTCATGGTTTCGAGTGATGCGTTTTCCTCTGGTTTCCTCGCCCGCCAGCAGCTCCCACCAACCGCATGCCTGCATGCCCTTATGCTCACGTGCAGGAGGCGAGGGTGACTCTGGAGCTCATGGGTGTGCCGGTGGGTCTCATCGCTGACGTGGGTGTGGCGGGGCTGCACCGCGTCATCACCCAGGCATGTCATGCACGCACCACCTCTGCGCTCTGCTGTTCTCTGCTGCGCTCTGCTGCTCTCTGCTGCGCTCTGCTGCTCTCTGCTGCGCTCTGCTGCGCTCTGCTGCTCTCTGCTGCTCTCTGCTGCTCTCTGCTGCTCTCTGCTGCTCTCTGCTGCTCTCTGCTGCTCTCTGCTGCTCTCTGCTGCTCTCTGCTGCTCTCTGCTGCTCTCTGCTGCTCTCTGCTGCTCTCTGTTGCTCTCTGCTGCTCTCTGCTGCTCTCTGCTGCTCTCTGCTGCCCTCTGCTGCTCTCTGCTGCTCTCTGCTGCTCTCTGCTGCTCTCTGCTGCTCTCTGCTGCTCTCTGCTGCGCTCTGCTGCTCTCTGCTGCCCTCTGCTGCTCTCTGCCGCTCTCTGCCGCTCTCTGCTGCTCTCTGCTGCTCTCTGCTGCTCTCTGCTGCTCTCTGCTGCTCTCTGCTGCTCTCTGCTGCTCTCTGCTGCTCTCTGCTGCCCTCTGCTGCTCTCTGCTGCTCTCTGCTGCTCTCTGCCGCTCTCTGCCGCTCTCTGCCGCTCTCTGCTGCTCCCTGCTGCTCTCTGCTGCTCTCTGCTGCTCTCTGCTGCTCTCTGCTGCTCTCTGCTGCTCTCTGCTGCTCTCTGCTGCGCTCTGCTGCTCTCTGCTGCTCTCTGCTGCGCTCTGCTGCGCTCTGCTGCTCTCTGCTGCTCTCTGCTGCTCTCTGCTGCTCTCTGCTGCTCTCTGCTGCTCTCTGCTGCTCTCTGCTGCTCTCTGCTGCTCTCTGCTGCTCTCTGCTGCTCTCTGCTGCTCTCTGCTGCTCTCTGCTGCTCTCTGCTGCTCTCTGCTGCTCTCTGCTGCTCTCTGCTGCTCTCTGCTGCTCTCTGCTGCTCTCTGCTGCTCTCTGCTGCTCTCTGCTGCTCTCTGCTGCTCTCTGCTGCCCTCTGCTGCTCTCTGCTGCTCTCTGCTGCTCTCTGCTGCTCTCTGCTGCTCTCTGCTGCTCTCTGCTGCTCTCTGCTGCGCTCTGCTGCGCTCTGCTGCTCTCTGCTGCCCTCTGCTGCTCTCTGCTGCTCTCTGCTGCTCTCTGCTGCTCTCTGCCGCTCTCTGCCGCTCTCTGCTGCTCTCTGCTGCTCTCTGCTGCTCTCTGCTGCTCTCTGCTGCTCTCTGCTGCTCTCTGCTGCTCTCTGCTGCTCTCTGCTGCTCTCTGCTGCCCTCTGCTGCTCTCTGCTGCTCTCTGCTGCTCTCTGCTGCTCTCTGCCGCTCTCTGCCGCTCTCTGCTGCTCTCTGCTGCTCTCTGCTGCTCTCTGCTGCTCTCTGCTTCTCTCTGCTGCTCTCTGCTGCTCTCTGCTGCTCTCTGCTGCTCTCTGCTGCTCTCTGCTGCTCTCTGCTGCTCTCTGCTGCTTTCTGCTGCCCTCTGCTGCTCTCTGCTGCTCTCTGCTGCTCTCTGCTGCTCTCTGCTGCTCTCCGCTGCTCTCTGCTGCGCTCTGCTGCTCTCTGCTGCTCTCTGCTTCTCTCTGCTGCTCTCTGCTGCTCTCTGCTGCTCTCTGCTGCTCCCTGCTGCTCCGTGCTACCCTCTGCTGCTCCGTGCTACCCTCTGCTGCTCCGTGCTACCCTCTGCTGCTCCGTGCTACCCTCTGCTGCTCCGTGCTACCCTCTGCTGCTCCGTGCTACCCTCTGCTGCTCCGTGCTACCCTCTGCTGCTCCGTGCTACCCTCTGCTGCTCCGTGCTACCCTCTGCTGCTCCGTGCTACCCTCTGCTGCTGCTACCCTGTCATGCCTATCAGACTCTGTGCTGTGCGGTGATATGCTTCCTGCCTGCCATGTGCTGCCATGCCACACGCACTCTCAACTTCACCCATGGCTTCACTTGGCCCTGCCTTCCACTGCCTAATCCCAACCTGTACGGACTGTTTCTTTCTGTTTGGCGCTTTACCTCCTGCCCATGCACGTGCATGAACACCCCATGCATGAACACCCCATGCATGAACACCCCATGCATGAACACCCCATGCATGAACACCGCATGCATGAACACCCCATGCATGAACACCCCATGCATGAACACCCCATGCATGAACACCCCATGCAACAACACTTCATGCATGAACACCCCATGCATGAACACCCCATGCATGAACACCCCGTGCATGAACACCCCATGCATGAACACCGCATGAATGCACACCCCATGCATGAACACCCCATGCATGAACACCCCATGCATGAACACCCCATGCATGAACACCCCATGCATGAACACCGCATGCATGCACACGGGCATGCATGAACACCCCATGCATGAACACCGCATGCATGCACACGGGCATGCATGAGAGCAGCTCCCCAGGATCCGGCAGGCATCGGTGGTGATAGTGGTGGCGGGCATGGATGGTGCGCTGCCAAGTGTCATCTCGGGACTGGTGGACATGCCAGTCATTGCTGTGCCCACCAGGTGCGTGCAGCTCACCTCAGCATGCACCTCAGCATGCATGTGTGTGGCGATAGCACCATGTCAGCACCTGGCGCCCTCTTCATACTGCATTGGAGGCTGCTCTTTCATCTGCAGCCCTTCCACCCTGCATTCTCCCTCTCACTCCCTGCATTCCCCGTCTCACTTCCTGCATTCTCTTTGCCTCTAATTCCCTGCATTTTTCTTCCCGCTCACTGCCTGTTTTCCTGCTCGCACTCGCTCCCGGCATTCCCTTTCTCTTACTGTGCGTCCCCCCTTTCTCACTCCCTGGAACCCTTTCACTCCCTGCAACCGTCTCATTCCCTGCAATCTGCCTCTCCCTCACGCCCTGCGTTCCCCAACCACGTCCCCCAGTGTGGGGTACGGAGCATCATTTGGCGGCGTGGCAGCGCTGCTGGCAGCGCTCAACGCGTGTGCACCGGGCGTCACCGTTGTCAACATTGACAACGGTTTTGGTGCCGCTGCTGCTGCTGCACGCATTCTTTTAAGGAGACAATCGTGACCTCTACTATAAACATGCATGTAATTCCGTGTGAGTCTGTATTGAGAGCATCAGGCGTGATTGAAGCACTCCAGTCCACAACTAGCTGGTGTTGAAGTGGCAGTTCAGCACCATTCAGCTCGGCACCATTCAGTTCGGCACCATTCAGTTCGGCACCATTCAGCTCGGCACCATTCAGCTCGGCACCATTCAGCTCGACACCATTCACTTCGGCACCATTCAGTTCGGCACCATTCAGTTCGGCACCATTCAGCTCGGCACCATTCAGATCGGCTCCATTCAGCTCGGCACCATTCAGTTCGGCACCATTCAGTTCGGGAGCCTCAGGGGCGTGCCAACCCAATGCAGTGCACTGGGATTTCCAAAACTGCAACTCGTCCTTATTTTGAATGAAGTCGCTCGACATGAGGACCTTAGGGTGCATTGCATTCGTACCAGACACGATGACAGAGTTTCGGAAGACACAAAGTGACTTGGTTTGTGTCTTCCGAAGCTTGATTGTTCCGAATTTCATGACACTTTGTATCTTAGGAACATCCACATCGTGTCAGACCTCATGTCTGACACTAGATACAAATGTACTACCGTACCTTGAGAGTCAGGTTATCAACATTGAAGTGAACAATAGCTTGTGTGTAAGGAATTTTCTCAGCATTCCTTAGCGCGCCCTGCAACATCGCGTACAGCAGCAGCTGTTGTTCGCCCGTTATTGCTAACGGGGCTTCGCCGACTTTGCGCGCACTGTTTCACCAAACCTCTCACCGCACTGCTGGCCCGGCCGTATCAGCCTACGCTTCGGGACTAGCCCGAACCTCGCTGCCAGCGTAGCACTAGCTAGCTCGCACGCACCGCGTTACCGTTTGCATGTTTCGCGTATAAATGTTCGCTCATGCATTCGCTCACAATTTGTACTCGTTTGACACCTAGTGCAATTCTCGCTACCTCGATTCATTGCACCCGTAACACTTGGTATCAGAGCCTCTTTCTTTTTCGGACCGCGCATCTCCGCACCCCAGGAAACCAACTTTTGATTTTTTCACTCGAAGGGACTCACGCACCTTAGCCCCTAGGAGCCGCTATCCTCGCGTTCTCTCATAAACGCGTGCAACCACGACTGCGCCTAGAACTAAGGCGGGCCGACGCCCTTCGAAATGGCTGAGCATGTTGACGTCACCACCCTCACGCAGGAGCGTCTGAACGAACTGCTGCAGCAACTTCGCGAAAGCTCTGAAGAAATCGCGGCGCTGACGGCAGAACGCATGTCCCTGCAAAATGACATCACACGAGCAGAGCAAGCACAATCTCAAGCACCTGGCACTCCGGTACAGCCCTCACCATAGACATCGCAACACGGAAGCGTGGGGCAACCCGCGAGCGCGGCCAGTGATGGCATCGTCCACCATGACGGAGACGACGACCACGGCACGACACACCCCGAAGCGACGAATGCGGCCCGGAGCCAACCGCGCGTCACGATTTCGGCACTGATCAACGAGTCGGCACTACCGTCACCGATGCCGCTGAAGCCGCAGCGTCTGCCATGCTTTGACCTGAGTCAAAAGGTGGTCATACCGTTCAGGCGTGGCTGTTCACGATGAATGTCTTCTTCGATTGCAACTACGTCTCGGAGGCTACGGCGAAAATCCGTTACGTCGTGTCGCTTCTGCGAGGACCCGCCATGGACTGGTGGCGCGTCATCGTCACGAAGCCGAATGACTACGCGAATCTACCGACACGGGAAGGACAAACTGGACCCTGGGCGCCGTCGTATTTCGTGGAGATGCCTCAATATCGCACGTGGGACGCCTGGTGCGCAGGTCTGCGTGCTCAATTTGAGCCAATTGTGGCTTCGATCGAGGCGCGTCAGAAGCTCCGCACTTGGCGCCAACTCGGCTTCGTCCAGGACTACACCAGCGGATTTCTGGTGCTATGCGAGCAAGTGGGTTATATGCACGAGGGCGAGCGCATTGACCACTACATCGGCGGCATGAAGCACGACATCGCTAAGGAAATCCAACTTCGCGGCGTCACCGATTTTCAAGAAATTCTCGCTATGGCGGAGAAGCTTGATTTCTTCCGTTGACTGAGACCGGGGTCCTACGGAAGCAGTAACTCGGGACATCGGTCTCGTGGGACGAACGAGGGCGCTACGATACGTGCCGTCATCGCGAATGCCGCTGCCGCACCGTTCAAGGGGCGCTTGTCAGATTTATATGACATAGCTACTGTAGGCTATAGTGGGGTAGCACATATGGGGTACAGCTTTCTAGGGTTTGTACTTGTACCCAACTTTCCCTTAGTCATTTCATTCTCGTTTCTTCTCATGGTTTCAGAGCAGGTTCCCTAGTGGGAACGCTACCTAGGGCCCACCACGATTTTTTTTTTCCTGCCCGGAGCGCGCCTTAGACTAGACCGAGTCGCGCGCGCCCCGTGTGCCCTCCCTACCGTCGCGCCGCCCTTTGTGGCCCCTTACGCTGCCCGTCGACCCCACAGGCCGCCCTAGCGGCCCCTCCTTACGCCACCCGTCGACTCCGCGCGCCGCCTTACCGGCTCCCTGCGCCGCCCGTCGACCCTGCGCGCCGCCCTTGCGGCCTCGCCGCCCTTACCTGCGGCACCGCCGCCCTTACCTGCGATCCCCGCCGCTCTCAACTGCGGCCTCGGCGCCCCTACCTGCGGCCCCGCCGCCCTCACCTGCGGTCCCCGCCGCCCTTACCTGCGGTCCCCGCCGCCCTCAACTGCGGCCTCGCCGCCCTTACCTGCGGCCTCACCGCCCTCACCTGCGGTCCCCGCCGCCCTCACCTGCTACGACCCCGCCGCCCTCAACTTCTGCGGCCCCGCTGCCCACAACTGCGGCCCCGCCGCTCTTCTCTGCGGCCCCGCCGCCCTCTGCTGCGGCCCCGCCGCAATTCTCTGCGGCCCCGCCGCCCTCTACTGCGGCCCCGCCGCCCTCACATGCGGCCCTGCCGCTTTCACCTGCGGCCCCGCCCCTCTCGTTGGCGGCCCCGCCGCTCTCATCTACGGCCCCGTCACCTGCTGCAGCGCCGCCCGCCGCCCGGGCTTCCCGTCCCGCCCCACCCAGCCGAGCAGCCGACCGCCGCGCCGCCCTGCAGCAGCACCGTCGAGCCGCCCGGGCAACCGAGCAGCCGGACAGCTGGCCGCCGAGCCGCCCAGCAGCAGAGCAGCCGAGCCGCCCAGCAGCTGAGCCGCTCAGCAGCCGAGCCGCCCAGCAGTCGAGCCGCCGGACCGCCGAGCCGCACTGCAGCCGAGCCGCCCAGCCGCCCTGCAGCCGAGCCGCCGATCTGCCGAGCCGCCCTACTGCCGAGCCGCCCGAGCTGCCCTATCCGGTGAGCACAGTGCCTCCTTTTTGCTACACTGCCCTCACCCTACTGTTGCACTGATAGTCTACTATGGTCATGGCTACCCCTAGTGTCCTCGCATTTGACGCTGAGGGTCGAGCCATTGACTTTGACGTCTGGGTAGATGACCTGCAGCTGTTCTTACAGTGCGATAGGGCAGACGGTCTCTCTCTCTCTTTGACCTCACCTCTGGCGCCTCTCCTGCCCCTACTGCTGATACTGACGCCACTGTTCGTTCCCAGTGGGCCAAGCGCGACGCTGCTGCACGTCTTGCTGTGCGTCGCCACCTCCCTACCTCCGAGCGTGCGCACTTTAGTCAGTACAAGAGTGCTCAGACCTTGTACGACGCTGTAGTTGCGCGCTACTCCTCCCCTCCCACTGCTGCACTGAGCCGTCTCATGCTACCGTACCTCTTCCCTGACCTTACTGCCTTTCCCACAGTCGCTGAACTCATTACGCACCTCCGCACTAGTGACACTCGCTACCGCGCTGCGCTTCCTGCTGACTTCTGCGCCAAGTACCCCCCCCCCCATGTACATCACCCTCTACTACATAGTCACTCGCCTCCCTGACTCCCTTCGCGTAGTCAGGGACCACTTCCTCTCACTCTGTCCCACCACTCTCACTGTAGACCTCCTCGAGAAGTCCCTTCTAGCGGCCGAGAAGAGCATAGTCGCTGTAGGGGCCTCTCGTGGTGACCCGCGCACCCCCATCTTTGAGGGGTGTTCCCCCTCCCCCCTTCTCCCCTCTGTTGCCTCTGCTACTGCGGCCGACCTCCCTGGTCTTGAGTCGGTCGGTGCGGCGTCTGCCCCTAGCGGGAGACGCCGCTCTGGCAAGAGCAAGGGGGGCAGAGGCACTGGAGGGGCGAGCGGGGGCGGTGGAGGTGGAGGTGGAGGCGGCGGGGGGAGTGGGGGTGGCGGTGGGAGTGGTGGTGGGGGTGGAGGTGTCGGTGGCGGCACTGGAGGCGGAGACGGCGGTGGCGGTGGCGGTGGGAGCGGAGGTGGCGGAGGTGGCGGTGGTGGAGGAGGCGGCGGAGGCGGCGGTAGTAGCGGAGGCGGCGGAGGCGGCGGAGGCGGCGGGGGTGGCGGTGGAGCTGGTCGCGGGTCTAC